GATAGAATCGAAAGGACAATTTTCATTGCTTTATATTTAAATTTAAATATAAAAATAATTTAACAAATAAAATTCCCTAATAAATAAATTAATTATCAGTTACGAGCCCACGAAATATATTGGGCAGATGAATGCACTGGCTCACATTTGGCCATCTATTAGACTATTAGGAAATATATTAGACTCGTCAACTGTTTATTAGAGGAGATGATTAGTGCAAATTAACAGATTTGACCTTATTTTGAAGTTTGACCAATTAAATTCATTAATTTGCTTGTTTTGTAACGAATTTATTGAGTTACGTTTTTCTTTTTTTTTTCGGTACAATGAAGGGGCCGAAGCCTAGGCTAGTACTCGACGAGGGTATGTTACGTTTTTCGGACTCAAAATGCTGATTTTGAAGAGCTCAAAAAGCAATATTCTAGGAATTGAGATTCAAAAAAGACAATACAACATAACATTTATAATTTCTGTTGTTTACCAAACGCTTATTTGATAAATTGTTAGGCAAAATTTAAAAAATGGTCCACTATATTGGTCATTTTCTGAAAAAGATACATCATCTATGGCGCCATCAAGAATTGTCCACTAAATTGTTAATTTAATCAAAATTCGTGCAATAACCAACATAATGTACTAAAAGTGAGCGTTTTTTAATTGTCATATTTAGTACACTATGTTGACTTTTGTACGAACAATGACAACTTAGTGGACCAATAATGAAGACGCCCTATATATGATGAATTGTTTTAAAAAAATCGCCAACATAGTGTACTAAAAATGAAATTTAGCCTAGATTGTTAATTGAATCCGCTATTGAAATCATTTAATACAATCAGTTATTAAATATCCGCTAATAGCTATTTCAAATATGAATGAAAGAAATTAATTGTGAAGTTTGTAGGGTGGCTTTTCAATTTATACACATATCTAATCCATATATTATATCATAGTATATGGACTGGACATGCATGGCTTTTTTCTTTTGTTGGGGTTCTGATTTCTGAATAACCAACGGCATATTGCCGAGACATGCGGAAAATTAAACTTTTTGTTCTTGGGATATTTATATATTGCGAGATGTTACGGTCTTGTTACGGAACTATTCGGTCGGAGTTTGTAACCATTAGATCAAATATTCTCGACGATTTCATGATGATCTAACGATTACAAATCCTAATCGAATGGTTCCGTAACTGGATCGTAGCATTTTTCATTTATATATTTGGCTCCACACACAAACACAATAATTCAGAATTATCCACTTATTATATTAGTCATATATAGAATATAGATCTATGATGGTTATTTATATCATAATTAATAGCTCATGATGATAAGCTTTTGTAATTCAGAATACAATATAATATGTACTTCTAACTTTCTTATAAATATAAAAAACATAGAAATAAAAAATAATTTGAATATAATTTTTGTACTTTTAAATAATCTTCATATTGATCATTTTGGTAGTATCATAGCATGATACTCACTTTTTCAATATGACACTTAATATCTAACTATTTTATCAACTATATATCCACATTCCTACACTTTGACTGATCATAACAAGAAACTCCTCCCCCTCTCTCATCCCTTCAAAGA